AAAAAAAAAAGAGGCAAAACCAGACATGGGTTATTAATAACCCTCATTAAAAACTCATAATTAGAGAGGGAAGGTGTCATCACTATTCCATAAGAAGTTAAAACTGAGAGCTACATACTAAAAACTCAGTAGTACAACAGGCTGCAGGATTTTGTCTGTAAGCATTCACTCAATTTCTAACACTACTGTACCACAAACACACTTACAATCCTTTAGTATTTTCTGAGATACCAAAAAGAGGGGGGGAGGGCACTTAATCTATTAATATAATAAGTTACCAAATTAAAAATAAAGAAAAGCACAAACTTTGTTTTAGTTCTAAGAGTTATACGTGCTTATTTTAAAGAATTTCATTAGCCAGAGAAAAGCACTGAACACAGGTAGCAGCAGAGTCGAACTCCACGTGAGCAGGTCCTGTCTTAGTCACTGCTGTGTTCTCAGTGCCCAGAGCAACACCTGCACACAGGAACGTGCAATAAATATCTGAAGAAATATCAATGTTTTTCTTCTCATTTTATTTTCATGGTACTCTCTAGGTAGTATTAAAAAGAATAGGAACAAATCATCTATTTTATATCCCATTTGAAAAAATTATCCCTCTTAAATATTCTTTCGAAGTAACTTAAGTAATGAGCTGTAAATAGTCCATTGAGCAATAATTTCTTAGTATTTCACATATTTATTTAACCATTTTCCTATAGTTGGAAGGAATTCCCAACTGGCAAAGCTTGGATAACAGAGTAGAGCTCAAAGCATGAATCGATGATTACACCTGCTTATACAAAGGCAAAAGGTAAGTAATGCCATGTGTAGTTCCTATTTGGTGATCACATAGGCACTGTGAAGTATCTCTTTTACAGAAGAGGAACTAAAGGGAGGGGTTTAAGGTCACAGAGTTTGTTGGTGGCACAGAAAGAGGTGACCTTCAGGTGTCCCACATACCACTTCTCCTAAGGAGTTTGGGGGGAAAAAGTAACATGCATATCCCACAAGAATTTTAACCAGCATGCTACCTCTGAGCTACAATTCTGTTTTGCATGTATTACTGGTACTAGGAAGAAGGGGAAATCAGACGTGGGAGAAACCACAGTCCCTAAGATTTAGTTTAATTCCAAGCTTACTTATTTAGTATTCTGAGATCCAAGAGGAACTTAGTGCCAAATTTATACCATGCTCAACTCCCTTGCTCCCTCCCTTTGGCAAAACCAGCCAACACTTTCCTGTTCATTTGCAATTTTAACTATGACTCACTTTTGAATTTGTGCCTTCTCTCCCAATCTGACACCGGGAGGTGAGTGAAGGCAACCTACACTCATCACCATTAGACCTTCTCAGCCCAGCAGCAGAGGCTTTCTGCTTTTGAAAAGGGCCTCTGACAAAGTAACAAGCTTCCTGTGGTTATCACAGGCTGGTCACTGTTTAACCAACCCAAGGAGCCATTTACTGTGTGCACTCTGCTCCAACACTGTGAATGTCACTTACTCCACTTGAGTGGGTGGAGGTGGTTCTTTGACCCCTGAGGTAGCTACAAGAACAACACT